AGAAGAATGGCAGATAATTGCCAAATGATGATGATCAAAGCTTGTCGCATCAAACAAAAAAGACTTGAGGCTATAAAGGTGCCTCAGCTAAATATTTAGTTAAGGGTATGAATACTTATGCAATGTACTTATTTCAGTTTTTTTTTTATTTTTATAAATTTACAAAGTTGTGACAATTCTGTTTTTCCTTTGTCAATATGGTGTATGGAGTGTAGATTGATGTGGAAAAAAAGTAATTTAAAGCAGTTTAACATAAGGCAGCAACATAACAAAACGTGAAAAAATGACTTTTGCAAGGCACTGTATATACAGAGTACTGAAGAGCAGAACACAAAACTAGCTTCAAAACTCACATTGTATCCATAAACATAGCCATTAGGCAGCATCATGGGTGGGTTGTTCTCATTCATGACCTCGCCAGAGATTTTGCACACCAGCCTTGAGTTTGCACAGTGGGCCATGGGAAGAGGTTGAGCCAATTTGTTCAGTGACTTACTGCAGACAGGACAGTCTGGGTTTTTGGAAGTGCCATCATCTTTGTAACACTGCCTGTAAACTTGGAATTAAAGTTAACAACTACTCAACAACTTGATTTAAGAACCATTAACAGTCATTTAAAATAATGACCCTTGTTTCTATTGTCACTGTATGTTGAAATCGCCCAATATTACTCAAAATCCTGAGTTTCATAAATTATCTGGCTAGACATGCAAACTGAAAACCCTAAGGATGGTGAATGTTTTTCTGCAGAGAGGATACGGGGTTTTGATGGCAGACAGCCCTGCCTGCAGGGTAATGGTAAACACAGAGTTGTTCCCCAGCTGGTGTAATCTGTAGTTGTCATATCTGAACTGCTGGATCAGCATTTTCCAGCGAGCTGGATCCAAAAGATCCTGGGAGAAAAGACAAGAAATGTTACGGACCACTGAACTTGTACCTGCTACGATGGCATATTCAGAAACAATTAATGATCAATATCAAAACAGTTCCTTGGAGTGGTAGAAACATTTCAGATAATATAGAAACAGAAAGGCAATTTACCTTATACGGTGAAATGTGCGTGTCTGAGGGAAACGCCAGCATGCCCATCACTTGCCGTACCTCGTCCAATTGCCCTCCTTCTGCTTGGCTGAAGTGTTTGCGTGCATGTCTAAAGGACATTCATTTTGATTTAATAACACCAACTATGATTTGTTTAACAATAAATTCAAGTAATTCAGAGAAACTTGGAATCGCAGTCATGTCCAGCCATGAAGACCTACCATAAAAAAAAAATCTCATACCTTACTGCGTCCATCCGTTTGTTTTGTCGAATGAGTTCAATAAATTCCTGGATCCTTAAACTGAACTCCAAACAGCTCTGGAAATAGGGACATATTTCAACAAAACTGAATAAACTTTACCTTTTAAATTGCATCGTTTTCAGGCAATGACAAAATGAAAAATGAAATGTAAGCCAATGAAAACCCAGACTGCAAGAAATATAACCACAATGTGGCTCCATTAAAACACCAGTACATATTTGAAAACAGCAAGAGAGAGAAAAACAAACCCAGATGAACCCAGTTTCTTACTTTCATTTTCCGTAAGCGAGACTTGTTATCGTGGCACCAAGCCAGACAGGTAGCCGTTTCCTGATGCTCGAGAGATTCTTCAACTTCTTTTGCAGTAAGAAACATTTCTATGTTGACCAAATCCTACAAAGACAAAACATCATATGAGAAACGCATCTTACTCGCTGCACAGAAAAAGTGGAGACGCACCTCAATCCCGCTTTGTCTGGCTAGCTTGACTGCGGTGTTGTAGTAGCCACAGCGTAGTAAGTGCTCCACCATCATGCGGTCCATGCGCTTCTTCTTCCAAACATTAACAGAAGACAATCAAAAGTCTTATGAGTTCAGAATGACATAAGGGTGAGTAAATAATAACAGAATTTTAATTTTTCAGTGAACTATGCCTTTAAGCATTCAGTATAAATGAAAATGTAAAGGAACAGTCACTAGTTCAATCTCATTGTTACAATTACTTAATTATTAATTTCTTTTGTGTTTATATATATATATATATATATCGGTTTGGCAGTAAGCAAACATTCTTGACTAAAAAAGGCTTAATTTTGAAGATTCCCCAATTAGTTTTTATCTTCCACATGGCACAAGTAAATAAAGTATGACATTAATACATTAAGTAGTTAGTTCCAGATGTCTAACAATGGTGCATTGTGTTCTTTCAGCTGTCCATTTGAGAGAAAAGGTCATAAAGGTGGACATGATCATTAGGCCATGTACCGCAGCTGTGGAAGAAGCAGAGATGCATAAACCTTCAATCTTATCTCTCAGCATCCGCCAGTTTATTTTGATCAGGCCATCTGTCACCTTGCAACCAGGGCAGATAAGTAGTATCAACATTTGCAATGCTCCATTCATGTACAGATGTTTTAGAGTAGATAAACACTCTACATCAGTCAATGCTATTATTGCAGCTTTAACCTTTATTGGATTACAAGGTGCAACCTAATTTGGCAGCGAGAAGTGAATGCGAGCCAGAATATACGCAAACGATTGAAAAAAGCACCGATGCATAAATGAGCCGACAACTAAGCCAAACCAAATCATACCGTATCAAATATTTCATTTCAATTTTAAGATATTGATTTCTTTCATTATCAAACAATAGAAGATAAACTACTGTTAATCTATCTATGCCTATACACATAACTTAACAATACAAATGTCAAAACCTGACTGTCAAAAAGACAAATGTATTCCTTTACAGCTGTACACTATTACACAATTTGCTTGTATAAATAAATGCCCATTTTAATGATTTATGACTCTCTAAAATATTACAAGAATCAGTGCCTTCCAAAAAAAAAAAGAACTGGCCCACACATTTACATTTTATTTATAATTCCATAATAGATTTTGCACAAAAAGAATATAGTGACTAGTTCATATGTTTAGATCATGATGCAATGATCAAGAAGGTACTGGAAATCATTCCCAAAGCTGCAAGACAAGCTCAGATGCAACATGCCCTTGACACAGCAGTGAAGACCATATATTATTGACATTCAGTGTGCGTGTACATAAACAGGCGTCAGTTTACAGGCGATCCATGAGCTAATCGGGTTACAAAGCATTCAACTCATCATTAAACGATTCACGTGAGCATTCATCCAAATCGACGCTATCAATCGGGAAAAATCTGTGACGCAGAGAACAAAGGTGCTGTATGCCAACCATTAAATAATAAGCCCCTCATCGAGAACCCACACCTGAGCTATAAACGTGCTAACAGCTGCCACTGATCAACACAACATGATGCAATATCATCCTAATATAGTGCACAAATCGCATGCATACCGAGCTCTGGTCACCATTGACGTGTGTGTGTTCCCCCAGCATTTATCCAGACACACGAAAACCATGCTGTCTGGATCATAGCCTCAGAGAAGACAGCGTTCAAATCGAAATCAAACGCATATACGAGACTGACCAGTACTCGATTATAAAGTAGCGTGTTACTACTATCCGCGTCGTTAACGATTCTCGTCAATCTGCCTTCAACTGCATTGCTCGCTGGTTACACTAGTGGACAAACCTGTGATGGGATAAAACAGCGCCTGATAAAATAAGACTGTCGGAACGCAAGGGTGACAGGCATCAGACTGACATTATTCGTCTTTATTGCTCTCATTTATATATCCGTCGATATATAACCGTACAGCCGATGTCACTCACTGCTCGACAGTTTGCGATCACCTCGGCAAGATCTGTTTGTGTGAGACTTGTTTTGCTAAGTTATCTAGCCCTAGAGCTAACCAGTTAACTGTCTAAATGCAGTCACATAACTTACTTTCCATCTGATCGATCGTTTCCGTTAGACGATCTGTTATGACGGTTATATAACGCAGACGGGATCTGTTCGACTGCACGTTTAGAGTATGGAGAAGAAAGGCTTGACAGACCTTTAAAGTTGGGTATTCCTGCACCTTTAGGGCCATAGAGAGTTGAGCTGCTGTCTCCTGCACCGCCATCTTGCTTTGGGGAAACTACAAGCTCATGGAGCGGTTGTTCGTCTTCTTCTCGGCTTTGGTCTTCATGCGGCAATGAGGCTAGACTGCTCCATACTGCCTCCTAGTGTGACGGTGCGGATCAGAATCTTCACTAAGCTAGTCTGTTTTTGTTTTTGCTTGAAAATATGCAATCTTTCAATTAAAAACAACTGCTAATGCAACATGTATGTTATGTAGCATTTTCGTGGTTAAAAGGCCTTTAATTTCAAATGGCTACAGATATAAGTGATACAGACATAAGAGCGTAGTTTTTGTGTGGACTGTTTTAGGGGACTCTTTAAAGGGGTCATATGATGCTGCTAAAAATAACATTATTTTGTGTATTTGGTGTAATGAAATGTGTTAATGCGGTTTAAAGTAAAAAAAAACAGTGGGGGCGTGTTAGAACGAGCCGTTTTAGGTAGGCGTGGTTGACTCTTAACTTTTATAAAGAATATCTCTTTGGATTTGAGACTTTAGTCTTTGCAACTTTACAGATCTTCTTTATGCACCAAGAGCTTGTAACACTCCAAAGAGAAAGGAAACATTTAAATCGCATCATATGACCCCTTTTTATTTGTTTATTTGTTTGCTTATATATTTATTTTTGTAAAATGGTCTTTTGTTCTATCATCCACATGCAAAGTTGGTTGATAACATAAGTGCAATAAAGTAACAGCCTAGTTAACAATTACTTGTATACATAGGATATATAATGTATATTAGATTATTTAGGCACTTATAGACTATAGTTTGAAAGAATGTTCTAATTCAACATGCCATGGGAAGTCAATCTAACTTTACGTTTTCTTATATTGATATTGTTTATTTCTTACTCCTTAACAGTTCATCAGGCTCTTAATTATTTAATCTATGCCATCTCTTAGAATATTTGAAGACATTTTGAAGGTTTTTCCATCACTCATCATTAGAACCCATTTTATACATGGCTCTCCATTCTGACTTGTACTTGCTCTTATGAAAATGTACCGTAGTTCTTAGCATGTTATAATAAGTCTAGCCTATTGATCCTATTGATCTTTTTTTTAATTAATCTATATAGCATTATGAAAAACAACAGCCTGCATATTTAACAATAGGGAAAAATCTATTCCCTTAACAGATTATCTATTATAAAATCTAGAAGTTAGACAAAATTTACCACAATAAATAAGCCTACAATAGGATACTCCACCAAAAATGGGAATTTTCTTTTCATTTACTATATCTCTATGAGTGCATATAATGCAAGGGGATAATAATTCAAAAGTTGATGCTCAAAAGTCACACAAAGCAATCAGGACGGTAATCCATTTGACCCCCAGTGGATGAATCAAAGTCTTCTGAAGCGAAACTAGGTGTGTGTGAAACAAATACTAATATGCTTAAGGTTACTGTTCACTTGCATTATATGCACTCGCAGAGATGGATTATTTTTCTAAAAAACATTTGTGTTCATCTGAAGAAAGAAGGTTATATACATCTTGGTATCCCTTTAAATATCCATCTTAGCACTTTTTGGGTGCAGTATCCCTTTAAATATTTCTTATAGTGTAAGATTGTGGTCTCAGATGACCAAGTATATGATGGCAGCAAATGATTACCATGGGCTCTGTATTACAATTATATAAAATATTATGGTTTGTACTTTGTAGCACAACCAAACTGCAGATTCATTTGAAGTTTACATCTTTTAAATATTCAGTTAAATATTTGAATGTTATGTTGGTGTGAGAACAAACATATCAAGCTGAAACACTTCACTGATTCTATTCCTAAATACAAAACAAACAAAACATGTCACAAGAAAAAAAAAAATTCGGACACAGAAAATATAAGCATGTATAGGTATAAAACTCACCAGGAATGTGTGTGAACCTACTCACCTCATAGCAGCTTTCAAGACATAAAGCATTTCAAGAAAAAGCATGGCTTTGGTTTTTCAGATTTTTTAAATATTTGACAAGATATGTGCAGACAAGAAGTACAAGTAGTAATATTATAAACAGGTTTAATTTTTAATATTTACTATATTATATATAATGTATTAACTATAAGTTAAATTTATAGTTCACCCAAAATGGACATTCATTTAGGCCTCCTCATCCTCAAGTTGATCCAAAACTGTATGAGTTTTTTCTTCTGCTGAACACAAAAGAATATATATGAAAAATGTGTAGAATGTAATCAAATAGTTTCTGGTCACCATTGATATCCATGTTTTTTTGTGTTTGTCGTTTTTACAGACTATAGAAGTCAATGGGGACCAGCAACTGTTTGATTACCCATTTCTGAAAGATATCTTCTGGAGTGCACTGTCCCTTTAATAATGTCTTTATCAACAGAATAATGTAGTGATCTTCAGTAAATTATTTCGAAGTAGAAATGTTGCTATTTTATAAACTAATGGAGGGTGTGGGTCGTGTTTTGCCTGTCTCAAGAATCATGGATTTCAGCGCTATTTTATAAAAAGTTATTTTTCCCTCCCTAACCATCCCCCCTCACTCTCAGCCCACATCGCGCTCACATTTCTGTTTCCTGGACCCTCCCCCACCCCTCTGCGTCCGCTGGAGCAATGAGCCTTGATATGATTGGCTCCCGTCCAAGCGTAGCCTGCGCTGATTGGCTGCCTCACCGGTCACACGGCCCTGATTGGTCACATTTTCGTTGCTTGTTTTACCCGAATCCCGGGTACATTCAGGGACTTTAGCCTTCAAAGCGGGTGATGCAAGGTTTGTGATTGTTTTGTTTTTCTCTTTGAGCTGGGTGTGTGCTTGTCAGTAGAGGCCAAACCGCGCTGTTAGAGCCCTGTTTTCACATGCTCTTTTTATTTCTGTCAGGCAGATGAAGGCGCCTGTGGAGCGGCTTTGGAGGGGCTGGCTTTCTTAGCTAACACACTTGCATTTAAGGGCACTTAGTTGTCAACACCGTGGCAGAATTCGGGTTACTATGAGTAAGTGCGTTCACAGTCACTTGATATTATATATTCATCAGTATTCCTTAATTAGCGGTGAGATAATAGGAATGCGTTTCCTGAGGACATGGTAAATAAAATCCCGACAATAGCTTTAAAAGTTTAGGGATTTCTTTAGGGATTTAGTGGTAGAGATGCAACATATGCAGGAATCCACATCCAGTCATGCATTAAATACGTGAATTATATATATATATATATATTGGTTGTTGACGTGCCATGGCATTTTCACTGTCCCACAAGATAAAAATGAATATAATTAATATTGTCGTTATTTAAAATGCAGTAAATCGTTGAACATTTCTTTGTCCTACATGGACCGGTTGTTATAAAAGCTGCAGTGTTAATCGATTTTTTAAATTTTTGAGCCAAATCTCAACATTTTCCTATGGTGTGACTGTCTCAAGCATGGTTCAGTAAATTACAACTTTTATAAATTGCATTTAAGGGCACTTAGTTGTCAACACCGTGGCAGAATTCGGGTTACTATGAGTAAGTGCGTTCACAGTCACTTGATATTATATATTCATCAGTATTCCTTAATTAGCGGTGAGATAATAGGAATGCGTTTCCTGAGGACATGGTAAATAAAATCCCGACAATAGCTTTAAAAGTTTAGGGATTTCTTTAGGGATTTAGTGGTAGAGATGCAACATATGCAGGAATCCACATCCAGTCATGCATTAAATACGTGAATTATATATATATATATATATTGGTTGTTGACGTGCCATGGCATTTTCACTGTCCCACAAGATAAAAATGAATATAATTAATATTGTCGTTATTTAAAATGCAGTAAATCGTTAAACATTTCTTTGTCCTACATGGACCTGTTGTTATAAAAGCTGCAGTGTTATTAGATTTTTTACATTTTTGAGCCAAATCTCAAAATTGTCCTGTGGTGTGACTGTCTCAAGCATGGTTCAATAAATGACAACTTTTATAAATGAAAAATAAAAGCATAAAAATGTTAATAAATACCTCCGGCATATTTGTACAAGTGTCTATTTTAGTAAATGGCAATTATTTTTTTCATCCACGTATTTCTGAAAACGTAGGACCTTGACACATTTCGTCTCTGAAAACCATGTCCTCTGGTGTGACACCATATCCTGATTTTAAATCGGCCAATTCCAGAGAAAACTTTAATTAGTTGTTGGACCCCAGTCATGGTCCTGTTACTGAAGCCCCATGTGAAGCCCATGACATGTGCACATGTTAAATTTTTGTCTCAGAATTGTTCAAATATTGTTCAAATATTTAACTTTTTTGGAACCACTACAAAAGTGTTATGTTTTGTTGTCCTTTGGTGCGACACCCCTAAATTATATTTTTTAATTAAAATCTGCATGTTAAACTAGATAATCATGGAAAATTATGCAAATGTGTCTTGCGAACCGCTAATGACAAGTTAGCTCGGAATAGCAAGGTCATTAATTGACAGAAAAAGGCCGAAACGTCCTGTGGTGTGACAGAAAATGTCCTCCGGTCCGGTGTGACGCCTGTACTGTCACACCACAGGACAAAGATGTCACACCAGAGGACAAGGTCTCTTTAAAAAGCTTTTAAATAATTAAATAAGATTTATTTAACTCCTTTTTATTCTTTTTTGATAATTTTCAGTGTTCTTAAATGCAATAACCACATTAATTAAACTATTTTAATCGATTTTTTAAATTTTTGAGCCAAATCTCAACATTTTCCTATGGTGTGACTGTCTCAAGCATGGTTCAGTAAATTACAACTTTTATAAATGAAAAAAAAAAAAAAAAAGCATAAAAATGTTAATAAATACCTCCGGCATATTTGTACAAGTGTCTATTTTAGTAAATGGCAATTATTTTTTTCATCCACGTATTTCTGAAAACGTAGGACCTTGACACATTTCGTCTCTGAAAACCATGTCCTCTGGTGTGACACCATATCCTGATTTTAAATTGGCCAATTCCAGA